TTTCCCTAACCAAATCTCTGGGCATCCTTGGAGCTTGACAGTAAATTCTGTGAACTGCTACATCCTCTAAAGATCGAGTGCAGCTTTATTGCAAACAGAATTCAGAAGGTCTGTTGTTCATCTGAGACATACACCCCAGAAATAGCCCTTCCTTCTTGTATTAAGCAGTAATCCCCTAACATTAAATGAGTCAGTGTCTTCTTCAGTAAAATTTTCCCCCAGAGTTTAGTAGAAAGAAGCAGTTGTCTACACATACATATACACCAGCCATCTGCAAATATATATATATATGTATGTATTTGAGTTTACATTGTATTCCCTTGTTAAGTATGTTAGATGCCAATAAACCTTTCTTATTTTAGGTTTGTGAAAAATATTGGAGAAAGAACCATGTCTTAGTCTCTCAGAAGCTATTCTCTTCCTTTCTTCTATTTTCCTTTACAATAAAGTAAAAAAACAAGCTTTAGTCCTCCAGATCCTGTGTTAATGTAAATTTTTCATTTGTTGAAAACTTCAGATTTCGCCCCTAAGCACATCTGGTTTTGAACTGAACATGAAATCATTAAACAAATGGTGGGCTCGTCCAAGTGGCTGAAATGGTTCACTCCTATCTGAATATGTTGGCTTTGAGAACTGTGGGGTTTTTTCCCCCCAATTTCTATCTCCTACTCAAATGGTATTAATAGTCGCACTTATGTAATGTCTGTGTTGTGTGTGTGTTTTTAATCTCTACTTAGGTTGACCTGACAGTTCAAGAAAAGGAGAAATATCTTAACGTGTCTCGCTGGTTTTGTCACATTCAGCATTATCCAGGCATCAGGCAACATCTGTCTAGTGTTGTCTTCATCAAGAACAGACTGTATACTAATTCCCACTAGAAGCCATCTGCGCTGTACAGAAGAGTGATTAAGATATTTTAAATGGAAAGTGTATTCTGGACCAGAGGACTGACATGAATTGATAGGCAGCCATTCTTTATTCATTGAAGTTGGTAGAATTTTTAAAGTATAAACTTGTGTCCCAACATTTTATTTGTTCTTTAGTTGAAATTTTGCAGTTTTTTTAATATAAAACTTCAAGTGCGGTCAAAACTTGAGTTGAGATCAAGGTATCAATTATCTTGTTTTTAGAGATGAAATTTATTTTAATAAAAGTTGCAAATCAGTGGCTTAATCTTAAAAAAAAATAGTCATTCCGATGGTTGACATATTTGGCTATGTATTGACCTCTTTCATCTTATAAATTAATTTTCCCCTTCTGAATATTTATAGTAGTTTGTTTTTTAAGAACTAGGGTAAATTGTGCCAAGGAGACAAAAAAGGGAAGACAGATGGATTTGTTTTCAAATATTTATGTGAGCCAGTAAACGTGGTTGAAAAATTGAAAAAGTCATTTTTTTGTTTGTTTCTTTCCTGTTGTCGGTATTCATTGAGGTGAAACTACTGCACTGCCCTAGAGGGAAGTGGAATAAAATACATTCCCTCGAATTCATGGTTCTTTTGTTGTCTTTGGGCTCATTGGAATATGCAGTAGCTAAAAAGCAATGGGATATTCCCACTATCCTACTAATTTTGGATTTGGTAACTACTAGATTTTTCTAAACTAAAAACCAACATAGAAAGGCTGGTGTTGACATTCTGTGTAAAGAACGAAGACTCATATACTGTATTAAAACAAGCCTATACAGTTTATAACTCTTAGTGGTTGAGTAAATAAATAATCAATGATAGAGAGCTAAAGAGCTTATATTTACAAATAATAGGAAAAATTGTCTTTGAGCTCTTCACTGTTAATGCTATGTAACATTTTGGTGCTGACTCTGAGTCTCAGTAGAGTACAATTCAAAGCTCAAGTGCAAAGAGCAGAGACTTGGGAAGTGTCCATCCCTTTGGCCCAGTCCTGCTTTGATCACATACTAGCTGAATGCATGACCTAAAGCAAATCAGTTAACCATATTTTCTTAATCTCTAAACATAAAAATAAAATGTAAAAGTAAAGATAACTCTAAATGTTGAGGATTTGTGGAGACAAACATACGTGAAAAAGCCTAACATACAGCCCATGGCTGTCAGTGAAGGTTTCTCTTTGCGAGAGGCCCCCACGCCCGCTTTTGTTCTTCACGTTACTGAGTCAAGAGATTTAATAGGCCAAGAGGATTGAGTATATTGTAATAGATCAAGACAAGTTTTACAGGATTGGATTTCACAATTCATTGCTATTGGGAGCATTTTTAATTTTTACAAAGTAGCCTTTATAGTAGAATGGACTTGTATTTGCATGTTCAGAAACTAAAGGGCTCAAGTTCCCCTTGGGAGTTAGCACGAGTGCCACAGAGGCAGGCCCAGTCTGACTTCTCATGCATGCCGCTGCCCCAGCTGGGTCTGCTATAAGGCTTCCACCTTAAAGTCCACTGCTGCAAATTACTTCTTCCCCTGACACTTCTCTGGTCTCCGCTGGACCCGGGAGGTGAGCAGGATAGACAGGATAGTCAAGAGATGGGCTAGCCAGTCCTCCTGTCCCAACCATTTCACTCCTTCCCTTCAGTGTAGGTCAGCAGTGAGGACGGGGGGGACAGAGGATACCGGATACCTCTTTGCCAAATGTATCCTCTTCCCACTTCCACCTGGTGAGTCTTTTTCTTTTTGGCCACGCCCTGTGGCTTGCTGGATCTTAGTTCCCTGACCAGGGATTGAACCCCGGGCCCACAGCATTGAAAGTGCCATGTCCTAACCACTGGACCACCAGGGAAGTCCCCCTTGTGAATCTTATATCTGCTAGTCAGTTCTTCATTGCAGAGCATATCATTGCTTCAATAGGTTATCACCTACTACGTGCCAGGATGATCTTGGAAGATGCAGGGGTGGCAGAAAGAGAAAATCCTGGCTCCCGTAGGCAAAGGTTAGATGAGATTAGATGTTCTCAGCGTCTAAATCGAAACAGTTCATTTCCCCTTAGAAAGGCTGCGGGGCGTCCTGGGTCATTTCCGTCAGGTACTTCTCTACCTGAAATGCCCTTTCTTTCTCACTTGATGACCTCTTCAGTATTCAACTTTGTCGTGTCCTGGAAGTCAAGTCCACACTGACCAACCCACCTCCCCTTGCCTCCCATCTGGCACTGAGGTCATTGTGCTATTTTTGATCACTAGTCTCTTCCACCAGATGTTTAATTCCTTGGGAGCAGAGACTGTCTTTTCGCAGCTGTCCAGACAATAACTGACACATAACAGTAAATGCTCAATGTGTGTTGAAAGAATGTAGTATTAAGTCCATTTTGAGCTAACCAAGAAAAGTGTAAGTGTGAATTGCAATTAGGTACAGGTGTATAGCAGAAAAACCACATAACATTAAACTGGGTTGTTTCTTATGTGAAAGAAGACAGTCCACAGTTGGTATTAGGCATCTAGCTGCTTTCCACTTGAAGGACCTTTCCGGGAAGCCCTATTCAGCAAAATCTATTTACATGTCTTTGGCCATCCCAGCTGGGAGAAAGGCCAGAAGTGTAGTCCTTTAGCACACACATTGCCAGCCAGAACAAAACTTGTGCTATGAATGAGGAAGAAGGAAGAAAGGGATACAGCTAGGTAGGCAGCTAGCTATCTCTATCATGGTAAGTAGTGTTTAAGTGGGAAAATACTTTCTGAATGCTAAATAATCCAGTTGTAAAATAATTTTTGTGAGTAAATTGTTGGCATTCCATGGATCATCAGTTTGCAAAGAATTCGAATACCATAGAATAAATACTTCTCACTGATCACGGTTTTCAAGGTTCACAAGCTATTTTAGGATCCTGCAATACTGAGTTATGAGGATCTGTTAATGCACTTTTAATACCAGCGTTAACAGCTAACACTTATTGAGTGTTCAGTATGTGTTCAGCACCACTCTAAGTGTTTTAAGTGAATTCACTCCTTTAATTCTTATCCCCTTTTGCCAGATAATGAAACTGAGGCACAGATTGGTTAAGGAACTTCCCCGGGTCCCAGCCAGTATCCAGGGATTGGGATTCAGTTGAGTGTCTGGCTCAAACTCAGTCTAAGCGCCAGTGTGCCTGGCAACTTCTGCTTAACCAACTTGTGAAATTCGTTTTTGCCAACCTTAGAAAAAGCTGCCCTAGGCATTGGGTAAAACAAAAGTGTACATAACTTTGAGAATAAATTAGATGTTTCCACAATTCTGGATGTACTAAAAATGCCTGACTTGTACACTTTAAATGGCTAAATTTTGTGATATGTGAATTATAGCTTAATAAAGCAGGCTTTCGTTGTTTTTGGCTGTACCACGTGGCATGTGGGATCTTAGTTCCCCAACCAGGGATCCAACCCACGCCCCTGCATTGGAAGCACAGAGTCTTAACCACTGGACCGCAAAGGAAGTCCTAAAGCAGCTTGCTTGCTTGCTTCCTTCCTTCCTTTCTCGCTCTCTCTCTCTCTCCTCCCTCCCTCCCTCCCTCTCTCTTTCTTTTGCTTGCTTTCTTTCTGAGTCAAATACACTAGCCTTACCGTATATTAATTACGAGACCTTGGATAAGTCACTGCATGTGAAATTCCTCTTATGAAACAGAGGTGAAGATGACTGATCTCATTTAATTTGCAATAAGAAGGTATAAAAATCACCTGGCACAGTGCCTGGCACACAGAAAGTGATCAGTGAAGGACAAACTGCTATGGAAGATTGTAGAATCATAACGCACAATGTTATAAAGTCAAATTCTTAACTAATCCATAAGCCTCTTCCCACCGGCCATCTCTGAGGCACCTGCTCAACAAGAGCAGATAAGATAACTAGGCAGAGCATCTTGTGGTTTTAATATTTATTTGTTTATTTACTTTGGCTGCGCCAGTCTTAGTTGCAGCATGCAGGATCTAGTTCCCTGATCAGGGATTGAACCCGGGCCCTCTGCATTGGGAGCACGGAGTCTTACCCACTGGACCACCAGGGAAGTACCCATCTTGTGATTTTGGTAAAACATGAATCCATTGTATTACTCACCAGCTTAAAAATCTCTGGTCCTCACATCTTTCAAGCCATTGAAAAAAGGGAGCATACTATTTTTCTTTTTTTTTTTTTTCCCTAAAAGATCAACGAAACTCCTCTAAAATAAAGTGTATGCCATTCTTTCTGAAAAGTAGATGCCCCTTTCCACCATTTCCTTTCTGTAATTCCCAGAAGCCTAGAGCACTCATCATTCAATAATCCCTCTAGGGCTTCCCTGGTGGCGCAGTGGTTAAGAACCTGCCAATGCAGGGGACATGGGTTCGAGCCCTGGTCTGGGAATATCCCACATGCCGCAGAGCAACTAGGCCCGTGTGCCACAACTACTGGAGCCTGCGCGCCTAGAGTCCGTGCTCTGCAACAAGGGAGGCCACTGCAGTGAGAAACCCACTCGCCACAACTAGAGAAAGCCCACGCACAGCAACGAAGACCCAATACAGCCAAAAATAAAGTAAATTTTTAAAAAATAAATTTAATAATCCCTCTACATTCAATATCTTGTAATAACCTATAGTGAAAAAGAATATATGTATATGTATAACTGAATCACTTTGTTGTACATCAGAATCTAACACAACATGGTAAATCAACTACACTTCAATTTAAAAAAAAATAGCCCTCAAATATTTCTTTAGCACCTACTGTGTGTCAACAGTCGACTAGGCCCTGTGGACAACACAGGTACACACTTGCCCTCATAGGGTTTCCAATCCAATGGTCTGTAAACAGATTCCTGAAACAGCAGGTAAAGCATCCTTGGGGAGGCAGCCAGCTGCTCAGCATTCTTTGAAAGTAAATAAAAATAATCAGATACCATTTACTGAGTGTCTACTGTGTCTGGGCTCTGTACCAGACACTTTACAACCTTCACATTATCTCATGTTACTTTAGGAGGTAGGGCAGAGGCAGAGACTAACCCACATGCTGACCACCCAGTTAGACCACGGCTGGAGTGAATGGGAACTGTACAACTGCAGAACTGGAGGACATCACCTGTCACCATTTTATGCACTGGGGTTTGATTTGACGGCCCTGACTAGGTACTGGCCTGTCTCCCTACGCCCTGTGCAACTTTCAAGAACAGGTCAAAAATTCCAAGTAGGGAAGGATCATTCTTCAGTCAAGGATCCACAAATTTTCCACTAATTACAATAAATAATGGTTTTAAACCAAATAGAGGGGAATTCCCCAGGGTCCAGTGGTTAGGACACTGCAGTGGAGGGCCTGGGTTCAATCCTTGGTTGGGGAACTAAGATCCCACAAGCCACGGTGCTGCCCCCAAAATAAAAATGAATAAGTAAACAAACCAAATAGAAATAATAGAACTGGAAACAGTATCAAAAGGCCATTTGTGGGACTTCCTTGGTGTCCCAGTGGTTAAGACTGCAC